TATCCAAACATACCTACATGCCAAACAATGAGTTAGGAGCAGGAACTGAATATGGATGACGAGTAGTTAATATATCTCACCACCTAAGTGGTGTATTGCTTGGATCAGTCTGACGATTAGCTTCCCTTAATTGTTGACAAGAAACAAAATATCCCAATGACCAAAGTTGTTCCATAACAACAGTCTCCCCAGCATTTGGCATCTGTGCTCTAATTTCCTTCAGAAGCGTATTGAGATTTTGATCACTAATACTTTGACAGATATCATTTTCATCCATGTTGAAATGTTGTCTCTTCCTATATATTGTCATACGAGAAACACCTGGTAATCTTACTACCTCACTCTAAGACAAATTCAAATTTCGGAGATATTCAAGTTGATCTCGACAAATTGCTAAATGAGGTCGACCAAGTCCATTAACTGTCATTGGCACCACATATTCATCTGAAGCTGCTATTGATACCAATGTGGCATCCATACGGTCTACATAGTTTTGCCTCAATGTCACTAGCAACATACAACTGTCTATCAGCTCATTTACAGAATGATGCAATGTGGTTAGTTCTTCTGACTTGTTTACTATAGATAAAACATTACAAAGGACCCTCAAGAGTACTTGTACACAATTATGAAGCCTTCCAAGTACAAACTCTGAATCATCATACAAACAGCAAACTATTTCTCTCTTTGAGCGTATTAGAAAAGTTTCTACCTCAGAAAACAAGTCTTCCCATCCTCAAATAGCTTGGTCATTGTCACCCACATTGTAGTCAGCCATTTTTGCTAGAGGCCAAATCCATGGAGCTCCTCCCACAAATAACTGTTCATTTTACGCATGTTGCATGTGGCATAATGTTGTGTCACTCTCAATAATTTTGTCACACTTGGTATGCCATATGAGCGCTCAAGATTTAGGTTGTAGTTTGACTTGTTCTCTGTTTCTTCTAGCCATCAAGCAAACTAAGGAAGTACCCATTGACCATTCCAGCTATCGTGTGCTTGCCTAATAGCACTCTGAGAACAAAGGTAGACTATTACGCGCTTACAGACTTGGGGTCAATTACAATTGTAATTGTAATTTAAGGGTCAATTACAATTACAATTACGTAATTGTAATTGTAATTGACATATATTTTAAACTATGGACTGTAATTGTAATTGTAATTGTAACTAATGATAAATTACGTCACCTGATAAGGCACATTTACACCAAAGGAGATAACTAAACCATAGACTTCTATGCATGCATATTCCACCTTTAAAGTCATGTGATTGTTTTAGTTTCACATGTTCAGTTCTGTCATGGCAAATTCTCCTGTTTTTGATCATTACAACCAACCTGAAGCTGAAAGTACTGATGCTCGTCTTACAAAATTCAAAGCAGTTTGTAAGCACTGTAAAGTTAAAATGTCTGGATCGTATAAGGCAACTTCAAACTTTATTACACATCTAAAGGTAAGCTAAGCAGCATTTTTATCAGAATGTGGCATTTTAAATATGTCTCATTTTAGAGGAAACATCCCGAAATACATAAAAGTCTTAGTAAGTGTAGCCCAGCAACACAAGCTAAAGTTACCGACTACACAACTGCACTAAGGAAATGGAACCCACAAGATGACAGACAAATCTCTCTCACACAATCTATTGTCTCA